GAATTTAATACCCGAATACATGTTGCAGCTCGTTACCGTGGTAACGGAGGACAACAAAACATGTGGGGGGCAGTGTTACCTGCATTACCACGCTGTTATGGGTGTTCCATGTCGGCAATAACGGGCCTTAACGTGTCCATACCGACTAGTCTTAAAAAACAAGAGAGAAGTGAAACATCTAGTATGCTCAAGAATCATATTAAAGTGATATTGTTAATTAACATATGATACTAATGAGTCACACTAATAATAACTTGATATATTTGATTATTTATTAGAAATTGATTTTAATAAATATTCAATAAACTCTTATGATTAATTGGAAAAATATTTATTTCATGGAAGTAATTATTTTACAATTACAAGTAACACATTATTTCATATGGTATGAATTAATTAGTCATACACAACCTTTTGAACTAGTTGAAACCTTTTGTCTTTTTTTTTTCTAAAGACAAAGTTTATATTTTATAAACCTTGAGTTTATAAAATTTAAACTCTTCTTCTCTTTTTCTTTACCATTGCCAAAATTTAGAGATGTGTAAGAAGGGATGGTCTTTCAATTTTTTTATTCAAAAAGTAGAGACATGGGAGAAAGCATGGGGGACAAGCTTGCTTAAAGGTCTTAATGGTTAAGGACCTTTAGATTAAGTGTATGCTATAAAGTAGTTAGTTGCTTGCATTTTTGGTATACACTTGTGAGAGTGAAGAAAAGTTGTAAGTTCTCTTCTCCCCCTCCTCTCTTTTTTTTCTTTGAACATTTGAAGATTTTTTGCTTATATTATGCTCTCTTTGAACCATACTTGGGTTTGGTTCAAAGCTTAATGGTCATATAAAAGTTTTATACGAAAGAACTAACATTCTACATCAAGTTGAGTCATTGTTGGTGTCTCTTAAGTTCATCATTCTTTATTAACTTCCAAGCCTCCCAAGAGGATCCAAAGAACTACAAATGTTGTAATTTTCTCCATCTTCCTTTTGGTGCTTGTTTTTCTTTCCAAACTTTGCAAAAAGATCCTTGGTGTGGTTAACTTGTTTATGTTATTCAAAAATGATTGAGTCTTCCGTTGCCAAATATTATGTTTTTGAAATTAGTTTTTGAATAAAAACCCAACAATTGGTATCAGAGCCAGGTTGCAAGTTTGGTTAGATTTTTTTGATTTTTGGAAATCTTAGTTTTTGGAGAATATGGATAAATTGGTTTTGTATAAAAACAAGTCCATACATATTTTCTATGACAACTTTATAATTGTTATTTTATGTGACAAAAGTTTTTATGCATCTTTTGTCGTTTTAAAGTTGTCTTAGAAAAACAAATGTTATTTAATATGTATGTTGATATGTATGATGTGCATAAACTAGCCAATGACCATTGTATTTGTTGTGTTGTGGTGTTGGTTATTTTATAAAAATGGTTGTAATAATTTATTTATTCATATGGTATGTAATAAATTAAATAGATTAGTTTTCTTGTTTTATTTTTATAAGTAATAGATTAGTTGTTAGAAATAATTTATTTGTACAAAAATATAACAAGAAATGACGTTTGAGCCATTTTTGGAAGACGAAAGAGCAATTTTTGAGTTTAACAACATGCTGAAAGTTAGTGACAGTTTCTGAAAAATGTCACTAATGTTGTTTACAAAGGGCTGTTAGACTTTTAGTGGCAGTTACTGAAATATTGCTTTCAAGAAGCCTTTCCAATCTTTTGCAAGCAAATGATGTTTACTCAAGTGGGAGCTTCTACAACAACATTACAAGAAGATTTTTGGTCCCTTAAAATGTCCATTCAGGATTGAACTTGGAATTTTTTGTGTTGGCTTACAAAAAATGTCATTAGTTGGTTATGTTTATGCACATATAATTTTATGCTTGTTTGTGTTGTTTATTTTATGAAATTATTATGTGTGGTTGATAAATTAGTTTTTCACATACTAAAATAATTTTAGACAAAATAAACATCACATGGAGTAT